TAATGATCCTGGAACCCTTCTTTATTCCCACAGAATACCTTGTAGGGCTCATGTTCTACAGAACACGTTTTGAGAGGCACTGACTTGCAGCCACTCCTTCAGAACACAATTTTCTGTCAGTCACATGATTAAGTTTCTCTTTGTCCCGTAGGCTGCTAGGTAAGCAGACTGGTCTGGCTCCTGATACTCCATACCTGGACCCCTGCTTACCCCTGGACATTAAAGATGAAATCCAGCAAAATGGACAGACCATGTACCTCCGGGGAACAGGAGACTTTGACCTGTGTCGAGAGACCCTCCAGCCTTTCATGAACAAAACAAATGAGACGCAGACTTCCCTCAATGGAGTCTACCAGCCCCCAATTCACTTCCAGAACAGTGAATTCTATGGCTTTTCTGAATTCTACTATTGCACTGAAGATGTGTTGCGAATGGGTGGAGATTACAACGCTGCTGCGTTTACTAAAGCTGCAAAGGTAACCTTCAAAGAAACCACCTCCTGTGTGCTTTTGAGAGACTGATGTGGACAGTGGCAGGTCATGTCCTGCCCACACTTTTGGAGGCTCCGGTCAAGGAAAAGGGGAAGGTGGAGGGTGGAGGTGCTCGTGCAGGACGCTGGGAATCCTGTTCCCATGGCCGGGCAAGAGAAGTAGTCACAGCAGAAGCAAAAGGCTCTTGTGAGCCGGTTTCTGCCCACCATTCCGTAAACTTCTCTGGTCATTGGTGGCCTCCAGATTATTTTATATATTACCGTCAGAATTATTATCTGACAGTACTCCAGGACTCCTGTTCTTCTGTTCTCCTTGCCTTTCTGACAGTTTCTTAGACTCTTTCAAAGGTTCCCCCCTTCAAGCCCCTTAAACCTTGGTGATACCAGACTTCCGCTCTTGGCTTTCTGACCTTCAAGGTCTCGGATGGTCCCACCCATGCTCATGGATTGCTGCTTCCTCTCAAGAGGAGGCTGCAGTCCTGACCCCTTCGCAGTGCCTACTAGATGTCACAGCTCCAAACACATCCACCGTTTTCTCCCCGCTCTGTTCCTGTTCTGTCGTCCAGTTAAAGGCATCATTAACCATCCGGTCCCCCTCCCTGAAATCCAGGAGTTACAGCCTTCTCCCTGTCACTCCATCCCTCGCAGGACACCCCCGTATAATCAGTCATCAAGCACATTGATAGCGCAGATATTTCTCAAACCCCTCCCTACTTTCTGACCTACTCCTGTCCTAGTCCAGGCCCCTTTCTGTCACCTGCACTATTGCAGGAGCCTCCCAGCTGATCTTTGCATCTGGTCTTCCTCCATTATTCATCTTCCAGCCGTTCCCAGAGTGTTGTCTAAACACAGGTGTAGTCACCTGCTCTCCTGTATAAAATCTTCATCAGCTTCCTTTTGCTCCAGGATGAATTTCAAATCCCTTAGCATGTCATCCCCACCCTGTAGCCTTGTCTCCCCACCTAGCACTTTATACTGTTCATTTCCTTCACATCTGTGCTACTTGCCGTCTCACCTTCGATCATTTCCACTGCCCGAAATACCTGTCCTCACCCTCTTACCCCAGGATGAGTGAGTGCTGTTCTCTCTGTTCCCTGTTGCAAGTTTCACTGCCTCTCTGAGCCTCAGTTTCTCCATCTTTTAAGTAGACGTTAGACTAATAGCCATGTCGAGGAGTCGTTTTAAGTATTAAAGTGTTATATTTAGAAAGGCTCTTGTACAGTGCTCAGTAAATGCTAGTTATTAATGTTATTACAAATAACTTCAGGAAGAGGTGGCACCCCGCAAAGACAGAGCCTTTTGTAACTGTCCTTGTGTTCCCAGAACTTCGCATGTGTCACCACAGATGTAGGTACTCAGTCTGAACTAGCTAGTGTACCACTTCACTTTTCCAAAAGTTTATGCCTGTCACACACAGTCACGAGGGAGAAAATAAGCCATCTCGAAGAAGTTGGTTGTGGGCAGTGAAATTCTCTTTAACAATAACTGGCAGAATTTAAAGACAAAGAACAAGCATTGTCTTTGCTAATCAGCAGATATTCACTGAGTGTATGTCTTGTCTTTTTGGGCCACACACGTAAGTTAAGCTTGCGTTTCCTAATTGGAAGGATATGTTTGTCATGAATATGAATTCGGTAAACCTCTTTTAAAATGAAAAAAATGTTTAATAAACAGTTACTAATGATTTATTTTGGGTGAAATTTCTTTCAGGATTATTGTGCAACAAAGTGGTCAATCTTACGGGAGCGCTTTGACCGAGGACTGTATGCCTCTCACGCTGACCTCCACAGGCTAAAGTGAGTAGTGGACAGCCAAGTCCAGGGCATTTTTAAGAGACCGCGCATTCACTACTGGCCCCTGGCTTGCCACACCCTGGCCCGGCCTGCCTTTTTGTCCTCATCAGTCACTCTTCTTCATCTACCCTGGGCTCCTTGCAATCGGGATCACAAATTCTTGTTCAAAACATATTTTTGCTCAATTTCGCTGTTTTTTTCCTCCTGGAATTCCCCTGTTTATTCTTTGCTTGTTGAAGTCCTGCCCAGACATTAGAGTCAGGTCAGACGCTTTCAAGCCTTCCTCTGCCCTTTTAGCCAGACTCCATCCTTTTGAGTCTCCAGGGCACTCATTGTGTCTCTCTAGTGGTGTTTATCATATTCTACTTTGTTTATAGTTACTTGTTGCTTTTTAAAAATTCTCATTCATTATGTCATAAGTGTATTGACTATCTTATTTGTTATTATATCTTATTACTTGGCTACCCAGTGTTTTGCAAATAAGCCTCTGATAAATATTTAGAATCATAGAATATCAGAGCTGAAAAGGACCCCCCTATCTTCTCATTTTATAATAAAGAAACTGCGGTCCTAAGAAGTTGAAACTTGTTCAGTATTGATTGAATGAGAAAAAGATAAAATGTCTGAGGAAAAAATCTGTCATGGCAACATATTAAGTTACACTGAGACCAAGTTCGTGAGCTGATTGATTTTGACAGGTTAACTGTCATATTGTGGGACACGGGGCATAAACCAAGTAAATCAGCTTAAAATGCATGAGGTTGGTGTGGCTGCTCAGCACTGGCCTCGTGAAGCCTTTGCACCATGTTGGTCACAGAAGGGAAGGCTGTCTCTGTGTGCAGTTCATTTTGACAAATGAATCAGCCCCACTTCTGTTTGTGCTTGGTGTTTGTAGGTATCAGTGCTTCAAATCTGCCTGGATGTTTGAGGTGTTTCACAGGGGCTTTTCATTTCCTGTCAACTATAAAAATTTAAAGACAGCCTTGCAAGTTTATGACAAGGAGGTTCAATGGACCCTCGGAGCAATCCTTTACAGGACCCGCTTTTTGCCCTTAAGGTATGGCCGTGAATTTGGTCAACGAGAATCAAACGAAAGATCGTTTTCTGCAGTTATGATGCGTCATGGCAGCCATGGTGTGCGGATGTCTCGGGTACTGCTGTTGGCGCTGGCCATGCGCAGACTGCGGAGTCAGTGAAGTTCAACTTCGCTCTTCCCTCCCCAGAGCCGCCTTCCTTCCCACCCTTCCCATCCCATCACATGCTGCACAAAAGGCTTGATGATTTTCAACTGTCTGCTCCCTAAGCCCTGCACAGAAGGGTTTATTCCAGGGTTCTTAACCTTTACGGCCTTGGACCCCTTCTCAAAATGTTGTTTTTAATTCTAATACGTAGTTTACTGTGGAAAGCAATGTATTGAAACATATTTATGAAAATATTACAGAAAACAAATATAGTAATCTATGGGATATAGTAATCTACGTTCTTTATTAACACACGAAATAACAATATCTGGCAGCAGAACTAGTACCTTCTGTGATTTCAGTGGAGTGGTGGGTGTTGATATTTTGAGGCATTTACAAAACACCACAGTGTGATATAAAAAAATCTGTGAGTTTCACTAGGAACAAAGTCACAAGTGCTGCTGCTACTACAGTAGTTTGTTGTCCACATGCATGTTCGACAGAAAAACTACATTGCAGTCAGATTGGTGCATTTTCCCCTTCAAGTTCACAGACCTGGCTGTCAGTTGACCCCCACGTCAGAACCCTGGTTTACTGGTAAATGAATGTGGTCTTAGCTTTTTTGGTTTTTTTCCCCTCCTCATTTATTTTACCATCTCCCAGTAGCTTTGTTAACTGCAAAAATTGTGAGTCATGGGGATTCCTGATCACAAACGTGGTTTGATCCCACATCAGCTTCCATGTATTAGTGAAACCCTCACAGTTCTAAATTCTCTGATTTTTGTTACCCAAATTATGATGGTAACTGCTATATATAGACTTATGAAAACACGTTATCTTGTCGATACTTAAAACGGCCCTCTGTTAGGCCATATTCTCTTACATTTCAGAGATAAGTTAACTGAGTCTCAAAGACAAGGTGACAGTTTTTGTCTGCAGAAACCCAGGTTTCTCCAGCCCATATCCGGTGAATAGACTGTTATGTCACATTCCTTGCCAGATTAGTTCTCTGTCCCCTCTCATTAGGTTTGTTTGTTTGTTTGTGTTTCCACGTGGGCAGAGATATCCAGCAGGAGACCTTCCGGGCCAGTCACGCTCACTGGCGGGGCTTCTCCTTTGTCTACAATCACTACCTGTTCTCCGGCTGCTTCCTGGTGGTCCTGCTCTCCATCCTCCTCTACCTGCTGCGGCTCCGACGCATTCACAGGTGGACACTGCGCAGTGGTTCGGCCGCCACCCTCTGGCTGGAGGAGGGCCTTCCGGCCCAGAAGATGGCGGGTACCCTGTGAAGCAGAGTGAGAGAGCCCAGGAAGACTTTCTAACGGAAAAGCCATTTTTGCCTCAGGGTTTCTCCTCTTTATTCTCATTTGGTTTTATTTTTCCTTTCCCTTTTTGTTCCTTGAAACAGAAACAAAATCCATTATTTGTAAACTCTGCCATCCTGGCAATATTGTATTTGGCCCCGTTTTGTATACAGCTTTAAGTTGAGGAGTAAGAAAAAAGGAAAATCACTTCATTTTTGCTGCATAGAATATCTGCCAAAAATTCCTAAGCTTTTCGGTTTTTCTTTAAGGTTTGTTTAATTTTAAACAGATGCACTTTGATATTGGAGGAAAAAAAAAAAGCAAAGAGGTCATTTATCAGACATTGGACTGAAGAGTGATAGTTCTCCAGAACCAAAAACTCACTGACTGAAGTTAAAATGCTTTTTTTCCCTCTATCTTGAAAGCCCGAACCTAATGAGAGTGACGTTTAGTTTTTATTTATTGTTCAGATCTGTCACTATATGTTTTCTTTGCAGGTCTAAAAAATCAAAATTGTTTATATCCAAAATAGAGAAATATAATACCTAAAATAGAGAAAAAATAGTTACCAGGAGGTAACTTTTTAAAAAATCAATAGTGAAGAGACCTGAAAAATGTGAAATAACGACTAAGAGTGCTGTGTGCGCGCGCGCGTGTAAAATGCTAATGAAAGAGAATGAGGGAATAATGTTCTTTCAAAACACATGCTTCAGAATTTACTGTTTCGTTTCATTTTATTTAGAAAGCTCCCCATTATCATTATCTTTTCCTGACACAGGTAATTACTTTCTTGGGAATTCTCATACATAGTTTTTTAGGTGAAGTTCTTTTTGTGCGTGTGCATATGTGTGTACGTGTGTGCGTGTGTGGGTGTACACACGCACGCACTCACACACACACACAGTCTCTTAACTCCAGAACAATTAAATTCGTCTAGCTGGTAGCAAAGTTATATTTCGAGAACCCTTCGCTCCTATTTCAGAAATTATTCATTAGAGAAAGACTTCCGATTCTGAAGCCCTTCTTTAACTTAGGGGGAAAAGTTGGATTTTTATCCTATTGCCTACTTAAAACCATGGTATACTATATATCAATGATTTAAAAAAGATTACAAATTTATGAAAGAAATGCAAATTATCCTATTCTGTGCTCTTCAAAGTGAATATAATAATACCAATGAAAAAATCATTGGTAGAATATTTGCCTCTCAAATATTCAGAAGGTGTGAGGAGCCGTGTGGTGTTACAGTGTCTAATGTGGAGAGAGTTGTTTCAGAGATGATGGAGATAAATGTCCCTGTGAAAGAGCCAGCTTCTAAGTGCTGGTCTCCTGATATTAAGTCCCTGGTCCCTTGGCAAACACTTTCTTATCCAGACCCAGCCACACACCAGCTGTGGCGTAGATACGCCGGGAGTAGAGTGAGCTGGTGTGCTTCTCGAATTCTTAGATGGTTTCACCCTGTAGACTATAGATGGCTTTAGTGGTCAAGAAGAAGTAAGTTTATACTTTAGCTTTTCTCCCACCAACCGTTTGGAATAGTAAGGCCCTAACCTATAGATTGAAGTTTTTCAGGCGCCTAGAGTATGTGATTTTGCCTTGAAAATCAAGGATAAGCCAGCATGAGCACAGATTTAAATAGGTCTTAATTAAGACTTCATACTGTAAATGGCCACTTTTTGGATAAAGGGTGCCAGCTCTGTGCCGTTCAGGCAGCAGAGGAGAGACAGAGTTGTTCTGCTTTATGCCTGGCATAAGGACCCCTCTGCAAGGACCCACCTCACTCTCCAAAAGAAATCCCCAAGTTAGGGTTCCAAGGCCCACGCAGCCTTAGACTTTGCACAGGTCAGTGCCGTGCTCCCCTGCCGAAGAACTCCCCGGAGAAGGGCTCGGCAGGCTGTGGCCCATGGGGAAAACCCAGAAGACCTTGAGCTCAGAATGCTGCTTCAGTTCTTCAAGGGTAAAGACAAAAAAATAATGAATATGCAACAGAGACGATATGGCCTGTGGAAGGTAAAATATTTACAAAATTTCCCTTTACAGAAGACATTTGCTGACCCCTACGCAAACAGTCACATTCAAGAAAGGATATCACAGTAGCATCCTCTTAATTCAGGAAGATGGTTATCATTTGTGGGCACAAAAAGATGGCCAAGAGAGGTGACCAAACTTCAATCTTAAAATATTTGTTTATGCACCAGAATTTCACTTTTTAACTTTTCCTCTAGATTACTTTCAAGATCAGTTTTCCAATAAACCAGGAAACATGATCCCCAAATTTAAAAAGTGCTGTTCGAGAGGACTCACTGCGAGCCTTGTGCTCAGACGTCTGCGGTCACGAGAAGACCTTGCGTAGTTTTTCACCACCCTGTGTCACAGGAGAGAGGACAGTGGCGCTTTCTCTCAGTGGCGCAGAGGTGGCTGGGGTGAGAGGCAAGCCAGGGAGGAGCTTAATTCAGGAGAAGAACTAATGTCAATTAAGGTCTGGCCAAGTAGGCCGTAAACTCTGAATTCGTGTAATAGAAAGCAGAGGAAATTGGACTGGTGGGAACTTGCTAAAAGCCTCGTTGCAGGTTGAACGTTCTGTTCGATCTTGGCAGAAGCACAGTACAGTAAACGCTCCTGTTCCTCGTCATATTGTGTGCTGCTCCGTTTTTAACCTCCAGAGGATGTTCTCAAAGGTTTTACAGTCCATTTAAGGAAATCACAGTAAAAGGACAGACTGTTTTGTACAGTGGGTTTTGCATATCTTCACCCTAAACTGCTGGGTTTAGGCAGCGCTCCCCAACCTGGGGGTGAGCTGAAGAGGCAGCTCCTGGCTCATCCTGGCCGCCCTGGAGGCTGGGAAGAACATTTGTTCACCACTCACTGTCTATACCCGTGCTCTCAGGTTGGCAAGCTCTGGATTAACAGATATTTAAATTTGAAACTCAGGCCTACATAGAATAGTTTTCCTTATAAGGAGCATGCATCACTTAGCAAGAAACTCAAAAAGGCAAATGTGTTTTCCAAGTTTGTTTTCTTTCACCTTTAGAAAAATTTTGCGTGGTAATGTGCAATGCAGCAAAACTACCTATAAGTAAATTATTTTGTTATTTATTTCTATTTTGTTGTTTTGTCTTTTTATGATCTCGATTTTCCCTTTCAATAATAAATGATGTAACCAATCAAGGAGAATTCTTTGTTCTATTACTAAGATTATACTTTACAGTTAGGAATTACAAAAACTAAAGGAGTGTCTTTAAATGTGTTTTTATTTAAATGATGTTTTCTCCATTCAAGGTAAGAATAATTATTTGGGGGGGATCGTGGTGGTGTCATATCACTTTTTATACTTGGCAGCCTCCCACTGTCACACACACCAATGGGTGTTGAGAATCAAAATGAAGAGTTCATTGATGACCCATCGATGACCCATCAACTTGTGTGACCTTGCTTTCTTGTGGTTTAAATAGATTTTTTTTCCTGATGTTTTGAGTCTTCTTATCTGTTACAATGCTTAGTTGAACTTGAATCTAAATTCAGTAAAATAAATTGTCAGAGTCTGACTACACACTCTGTGTGGTTGCTGTGTCCGAGGTGCATGTGGTGAAGCGCTATTCTATCTGTTGCAGAGGGAGAAGTCTGCGTCCTGCGGCCCAGAAGCCGACTATTTCCACAAGGAGAAGTATTTACCAAGATGTGTAGCATAAGCCATTCACCAGCAATAAAGGCCATACCAGGACAAGCGTTTATAATTTGATTTTCAAATACCTACTACCTATGCGTATAGACAAGAAAAAATGAAACTGACCAAGTTTTAGGTATTTTCTAAATACTAAAAACAAATTCTGACCTTATACCATTTCGCAATTCAATCTAAACTTAAGCCATTGGCTTATTTCCAGAGAAATATGAACCACATTTTTAATGTTAATAATAACTCTTAGAAGCTAGAGCTCTTTTTCAGCTATTTGAGAATATATAAATAGAGGTTTTCCTGGAGGAGGGAGGTGGGCCTGAGCCATAACCTGAAAATAGTTGATCCAGACAGATGGGTAGGGAAGGGGACCAGCTGTCAACAACAAAAATAAAGGCCTAAACCATGCGTGACGAGAGGAGAGAGGCAGGCGGACAAGGTGGGCGTGCAGAGCGCGGCGTGAGCTCCGTGCCCCGGACAGCAGGCAGCCGGATAGTAGCGTTCGAAGAGAGCTTGCTTGAGGAATTTTGAGGCGGTGCAATAAATACAGGTCTTTGTGCTGGAGTGGTATTTACATGAAAACATCCAAGGCATCTAAAGATGTCTAAATTTTATTCCACTCGATGGAAGGGAAGTACGTGGCTGTTTCTAATGGCTACCCGTGTTAACAGATCTGAAGGACGATGGTTCGGGTTTTTTGTCTGTCATCTGTTTCCATTCCATTCGTCCCATAAATCTGGAATGCCCCAGTGGATCTTTTTTTTTTTTTTTTTTTAAGCTCCTGTTATGCTAATGGTTGCACAGAGGGGCTTGTGGCACTCACTGGTCTGGGGGCACAGAGTCAGACTTCTTCTTATGTAAAGGTCCTCAAAAGACAGAGGGGCGACCTTTAATCCTATAGCCCGACTTGGCAGGTTCTGCGATTTGCCTGGAGCTTTGGTGTCAGGATGAAATACCTTAAGTGTCCTCGCCACCCCAGCTTGTCTGGGAGGGCCTGATTGCCTCAGCCTGTGATCCAGCCCCCTCTTAAAAGAAGCATTGATCTGTTGAGGTGTTTCCATTTGTTTTCAGCAAGGTTTGTTCCCCTCCCCAGTGCGGCATTGCCTCTTTCTATTAATACATCCATTAAGGTTGACAGTCCTGCCGCGGGGAAAGACGGGGCCACTTGGCCTTCTATCTGTGCCCTTCACCCTTGATCCTGTTTGACAGGTGAATTGCTTCTGGGCTCCAGACTTCACGGCCACTTAAAGGTTTCTGTCAACAGCCTGTCGTGTGTAAGAGACCCAAACAAGTAGCCCAAATAAGAAACCTGGCCTTAAGAAGGGTTTCTGCTCTGAAAAAAATACTGAAAGCTCCTCACAGAACGTAATGGAGATAGGCACAAAAGACAGCCTTCTTGTTTCAATACATAAACTCAGTTAAATGGAGGGAAAGGAGATTTTTTTTTTTTCTCCTAAAAGAAGGAGAAGGGGAAAAGTTAGTTTGTGGCCAGGTCATTGGAAGACAAAGAATTGTCTTTCTAACTCGCAGTGTGGGACTTACTCTTTCATTGTGTTAATTCTAGAAAGTCCCCATGCTGGCTCTTCTTACTTTTCTCATAGGCTAGTAGTTTTAATACCACATTTCACCTTTCTTTTTCTTCATGACAATCAGTTTGAAGCAGGCATTTTGGGGAACGTGAATCAAACTCCTTGCCTGTGATTATATGACAAACTCCAGGAACCAGACTCAGTACTTTCTCCTCCAAAGATTCTGTTTTCCCACCTGGCACAAGCTTTGTTTAAAACCAGATTACAGATTCAAAAAGATTGAGACTCATATGTTCTGTGGGCTCCACTCAGCCTGTAACATCCTTTATTTGGGTCGTGACAGCACAAGAGAATTTTCTGGAATTTCCTGGCTGTTCTCCATAATGTTCAAATTACATTTTCAAATTCTTTTCAACCTTCTGTGATTCTGTTGTCCATCGGTATATCTGTTCCAGCCCTGAACCTTCTTGAACATGGATCATGACGTGTTTGCTTTCTGTATTTCTATATTTACAACTAATCCAATAAAGAAACACTTTGTAGCATATAGTACTTCATAAATCTTTATAGTAATCAAAATCTAGTTTCTTTCTCAAATCAGCTCTAGGTTTCTAGGGTTCATAAAACAACTATTTTATACATTTTTTTATTTTCAGTCTTCTTTCCGGGTGGCAGAGTTTTGTGCAATTTCGAAACCACGTACAATATGATGTGAAGGGCGAAACTGAATTCCAGGCCTGTCTCAGTCATCTGTCCCCTTCATCCCTCCCACCATTAAGTATGTTTAGGGATCATTACATTTTAAAGCTATGTTTAGAAAGCCTAGGAGGACCTAACTTACCTCAAGTGGTTTTCTTTCTTCTTAACCTAATCTTGAAAAAAAGAAAAAGGAAAAAGAAACCCCAGAATTAGTGATGAGTATGGGCAAAGTAAGATGGATGTTTTTCAAAGCCCATAGTAGAGAAAATAATTTCTGTATATTGAACTTATCCTAAGCATAGTTTCAGAATTTTATTCACTCAAAATTGTAAGAGGGAATAGGATAGATTTAGCTACATCAAAAGTAAGGATTTTTGTTTGAAAGCCATCACAGTCAAAGCTAACATGGCAGATTGAGAACAGGGATTAATATATCCATCTATATGAGGTTTCTTGAAAATCAACAAGAAAAAAGAAATCGAAAGAAAAAGGCTATTGATAGGTGATGCACAGAAGCACAGGCCCAAATGATTAACGAGAAGAGAGAAACTGAGTGGGCTGGAGAAAAGCAAATGAAATGAAAGAGCCTCTATGTTATGCCCCTCAGAATTGCCAAACTTAAAGTGTTGACAATGACGTAGAGACAGTCTCTTAGGTATTGCTGTGGTGGTGAACTGCGGGCACCCTGGAAAGCAAGCTGGCAGCACTTTAGCTGTGAGCGTGTCCAAGAGCTAGTGCTCCCCAGAGAAATGCCCACCTGGGTCCATAAGGGGACTACAGAAGGATGCTCTCCACCGTGCTACTTGAGTCACGGTGTTGCTGGAGGCAAGCAGCTCTTGGATGGGCAGAAGGTAGCAGATGCATGCTATGGAGACAATGTAAGAGACAATGAATTTTAAAAGGAATGTTGAATCTTTAACAAAGAAATGAAATTTGTAGCTTAACATCATTTATGTAAGAGTAAAGCACACAACACTGTAGGTCCTGAGGATATGCATATTTTGACTATATGGGGGATACTAATTGGTTATGAAAGGGGAACAAAAGATAAAACTGGTCTCCTTGTTTTAGGCTGACCAACTGTACCCATTTGCCCGAGTCCTTCCTGGTTTTAGTGCTGAAAGCTTCACATCCCAGCAAAGCCCTCAGCTCACAGCCAGTGGGCGCGGCTGGTTACCCTTCCACCACCAACACCTCCACCTGGTATCTTCAACATGGCAGCCTTGAAAACCCTAAATCAGACCACACCAACCTACACATCACTCAAAGAAGAACCAAAATCTTTATAATGGCCTATCAGGCATACACAGTATGCCTCCACCCTCTCCGACCTCCTCAAATTTCTCTCCCCTACTCACTCTGCTCCAGCCCCGCTGGCCTCGGAATTTCAATGGCTTTCTCTCGCATTGAGGCCCAGCTGGCCGCCTTCTTAAAACTGAAAACACCTACTTAAGCTCCTACCCCTCCCTCTTACCCTGTTTCAGCTTTTTCCTCATGGTAACTACCTCCTTTTAGCATGCAGTGTATTCACTGTGTTCCTTGTAACTCTCTCTACTAGAATGTAATCCGCCGGGACAGGAGTTTTCGCTTGTTTCCATGTTGTCTCTCCAGTGCCTGGCATAGGGTCTGATACGCAGCAAAGGCTCAATAATATTTGTGGAACATAAGAAAAGGTCTTTGAAGGAAGGGGTAACAGTGGGCTGAGGACTAAAGAGCAGGCTTAGCTCCACTCTGGGGCCTGGGTGCAGGAAGCAGGCTTCCTTTATCGGAAGGAAAGAAAGTGCTTCTCATGAAGAATCAACATGATAGCATAATCATGGCCTTTGAGGTGCCAGGCGGGCTGTTCTAAGTACTTTATTAACTTGTAGAATCCTGAAGACAATATCATAAGGTGGTTTATTCATTATCTTCGTCGTATAGGTGGAGAAACAGACACGCAGAGGTTCTATAACTTGCCCACAGCTGCATAGCTGGTAAGTGGTGGGGCTCGCAGCCTGGCCCCAGCCTGTACCCTAGAGCTGCACTGTTTAGTTTGGCAGCCACCAGCCACATGTGACCAGTCCTAGTTCTGATGGGCTGTAAGTGCAAACTATACACCAGATTTCAAAGACTTAGTACAAAAAAAAAAAGGTAAACTATCTCAATTTGTTTATATTGGTTACATAGGATGTGATAATATTTTGGCTATGTTAAGTTAAATAAAATATGTTATTAGACTAATGTGACCTGTTTCTTTTAACTTTTTTTAATGTGGACACTAGAAACTTTTAAATTACCTGTATTCTCAAATTATATTTCGATTGGAAAGCGAGGTCCTCGGACCTGCGGCATCCGTGTGGCCACGGCCCCATAGAAGTGCCAAAGCTTGGGGCGGGTCTAAGACCTGAACCACAGTCTTCATTTTACAAGATCTCCAGGTCACTCACAGTGCACACTGAATGCTGAGAAGTGTTGCTTTAGACCAGGGGCCAGCAAATATTTTCTCTAAAGAGCCAGAGAATGAATATTTCAGCTTAGCAGACCATAAGACTTCTGTCTGAAACTTACTTCACTCTGCTCTTATAGTGTGAAATGAGTCATGGGTAATATGCAAATGAATGGGTGTGGCTTTATGCCAATAAAACTTGTTTTCTTTACAAAATGCGG